TTGCTATAGTGTGCGCCGAATCGACACCCCGTTACCTAAATCATTGACCTACCATTAAGTCAAAATCTGCGGCCTTTGAAGCTGAGCAGCAGCAAAAATAAGATGAGCCCCACGCAAATGCGTTAATGGTAGCTAATACACGTGAACTGGCAACATCTTGTCTGTACGGTCACTGAATCATAGAAAAAAAGTGGGAGTATAATTTGTTCCCTTAGAACTCACCGTAGACTTCTAGCCGAACTCCGCCTTTGCTGTTCACGCCTTTTGGCTTCTTCATCTCAAACATAAATCGAGTTGTTTCGCCGTTTGGTACTGCAGTCACATCGCCAAATATCTGCAAGCTCAAGATTCCCTCAAAGTTCACTGTGGTAAAATGGCATATACAAGGTTTCCAAATAACAAGTTGAACAAACACTAAGAAAATACTACGAGGAGAGTCGCCACAAAGCTGAAACATCTGCTTGACTGTTCCCGTGGAGCGCTCACTGCCTGTGTCTTCCGCTTCAGCCAGCACAGCCAAAATCATCTCTTCAGCTACACATGCTACATCGCGTTTCAACTGCGCGCACACAAATGAATTGTCATAAAACAGTGTTAGGCAGCATGGCGGCGGGGACATACGCTGCCTAGGTACACCTATAGCTGTAAGGTGGGCAAGGGGTTGCTTATCTGACATGACGATAGTCCACGCCAGACATGAGGGCATAAAACTCCTGCTTCAGAAAATCTAGTATGCTCGACTGCTGGAAGGACTGCGCACAGACGAACGCACCCTTGTTTTCAAGTAGGTCAATGGCTGTTGGCTCATGCATTTAAGCTAGATTTCGGGAGGGAAGTACCTATGAAAAGAGCTGGGAATCAAGCAACTCACAACTTCCTCCATTCTTATATGTACTCTTATGCTACCGTGGCCTGTCTTCAGAGGATAGTCGGCTTGGTGTTCCCCTGCAAGATGTTCAAGCCACTGACGACAGAGTTATGAAATGGCATAAATTTAGATAGAAAACATTCACCGATGGAGCACATGCTTTTACAGACAACGAATTTGTGTCAACTGGATGCATGATCTGTGGTGCCACCGTATTTCTAAAATCGTATTAATGCTGCGGCTGCTTTACTCATTAATTGGACTTGGTGGGGGAGGCAGAAGCTCCATGCAGTATCTTGCACATCCTGAAGTAACTGTCGCAACGGCTTCCCCGCCTGCAGTAAGAAGAGCAGGCAAACATATACAGCTGTTTGTGGGATGACAACACTTGTCCTTCTATACAACTGATCAACAAGCCTCAGCTTTAAAATGAGTGCCCCACGTTATTCGTGCACGGTTGCGCTTCGAAATGCAGCATGCTCTGGAAGCTAGATACTAGGCCGTATCCCATACGTACGTTTCCAAGAAGTGGAAAATCATAGTACTGGTTCGGGTTCTTGTAGTGCGCAGAATTCGCGACTCCAACTGGCACACGCGTCTTATGTTTAACTCGCTGCCCTTGAGGATCTTCACGGCTGGCCTGATCTGCATTACCATCTGCAGCATCAGCAGACGTAGAAGGGCTTGGAGGAGTCATACTTTCTAGTTCAACTTCATCTGTAAATTGTTCGTATCCGGTCGCAGGAGATATTGACCGCCACACCCTTCTCCAGAGTGCACTCCTCCCCTTTCGCGGACCACTTCTTCCCATTCTGCTACCTTCGACGCAAACCGCTTCATCCCCT